ACATTTGACTGAACCAGACGAAAACTCGTGTTGAATTACTTTTTTACTTTTTGGTCTCAAAATAAACCAAACGTCCGTGAGCCTCCTCATTTGTCCAGCGGCCACTAGCGATCGCGGGTTGTTTATTCTCCCAGAACTCTATCTTTCCGCCATATAATGCCTAAACGGACGGTGAATAGTTTTCGAGATACTTCGATTGCTCAACTTGCCCCTATGCTCAACTAGCCCCGCCCTACCCTAAGTGAGCTTTAGAACTTTATCCAAAATTAAAATTAAAATCTGAATTATTTTTTACATACAAAAAAAATAATTTTGTTTTAAATATTAAAAGAAAATTGAAACAATTTTTTTCCAAAAGCATTTATTTTGTCAAAACATGCAGAAAGGTATTTAAATCATTCAAATCGGATGCCTAATTCTATCAAAACTCCAATTTTTTTACTTTTATCTCTGTATCTTCGAAATGCCCTGTCTTTGTCAAAAATTAATCACCACTTATCCTCCTCGTCATTATAAATTTGATATTTTTGGATCATTCAAATCGGATGCACCGTTCTTTCAAAAACTCAATTTCTATTTTTTGCATTCTTTGCTTCATATCTCCGTAACGGCTGGATCTGCCTCTTCCAAAAACTAATCAGCACTTCTCCCTAGCAATAGTGATCGAATGTTTTTGAATCAAGCAAATCGGTTGATCCGTGCGCCGAAAACGTGAACGAATAATTGCGGACACACAAAACACACACACACTTCCATTTTGTCTGAAGTATGCTAAAATCATAGATAAACAAGCTAAAATATTCATAAACCTCTGAAACTCGTAAGATATGCACAATTTTCATCATCTTCGATTTTCGGCTCATTACTATAACTTCTTCTCATGGGAAGTTGAAAATCACATCATCATCATATATTTTATGCAGATTTTAATAATGATATATAAATTTCGTTTACTTTCCTATGGGTTTCGTACCAATATTTATTGGTTAGATTGCGACACGGTGCTTATACGCGACTTGATATTTTTTCTCTAAGACCATGCACGAGGTGAAAAGGACCAACTGAAAAGGACCCTTACCTTCAAAAAAAGTGTAAATATCAAAAGATAGTAACTGAACAAATAATGAAGTTAAAAACAGCATTTTTACAAGGAATAAGTTAAATAAACTGTTTATATCCAGTGTTATATTTGTAAAAAGTGGCTATATAATTTCATTGAATTATTATTACGTAAATATGTTTGAAACTGTTTGCGCCCTGTCTGAACTATGTTACCTTGCCTATGGTGTAAAAAGCAACATCTTACAGCAAAATAGTAAAAAACCATATTTCCTTAATTAGGAATGGATTCGAAATTTTACTGAACCAAGTACAATAGTTGTTTGATACGCGTTATGGGTTGTGATGTACTTCATTTGTTTAAGCAGTATAATTACCTGAAGTCAATTAGGACCTTTGTGCCCCTCCCTACTCTATACGCATATGTAAACTAGTTGGTATTGGTATTTTGCCTTGAGGCTACTTACATGAACTTCCCGATATGTGTAAATCTTATTCAATAAAAAGATACATCGATTTATGAGTGATTAAAAGTATTCCGAGTGAGTTAATTACACTTCATTGAAAACGAACGAACACAATAATTTGGAGTATTTTCTACAAGGAAAATTTCATAAATCAATGATTTTCATAATTGAACCAGTTTCCGTAAGTCTTTAATTGTTTAGAATGTTCATTTAAACCAAGTACTTTATCGTTATACCAAGTGAATCATCTAATTTTAATTTTGACAAACGTCAAAAAAATACTTATCTTACATTGTCATTTTAGCTCATAGGAATCTTTATGTATTTCTGATTGCTAAATAAAACGAGTTAAAAAAAAAAAAAATTGACAAACGTCTACTTATTTTCTCAAACTTTGATGAATTTTCAAAATTAAACTACTTATCCAGTAAGTTCATCAAGTTCTATTAAACCATGATATATATCGCCAAAAAAAAGTTCCGCTTAGATTCCCAACCAATATTTTTTGAACAGTTTTTTTCAAAATGATAAATTTTCAAATCAGTTCAGAATTGCGGGCTGAAACGTGGACAAAATTTTTTCACTTTTTTGCGATTTACAAAAAAAAGGTTGGCTGATCGTGATAAACGCTAGTCCTCATCGAGATACATCGAATGGCTTTTAAATTTTTGAAATCGGTCCAGCCGTTTTTGAGAAGTCGTAGATTTACGGTAAAAAATCTGTTCACACACACATACTTTTACCAAATTTGGTCTCATTCGATTCAGATGGCTTGAAACATCGAGAGAACATAAAATTAGCAAATCGAATTTTTTGATGAAAACATAAATTTCTCCTTCGGGAAGTTCATTATACTAAAACTTACTAAAGTACTTTATCTATAATATCTAGGTTCGCCATATAAATTGCACAGAGCTTTTCGCGCTGCTAGGCCCACAGCATCTCCTTTATAATAACATTAATTTTACTGCATCAGCGAAGAAAAGCACTTGTCGTAAAAGGCCTTTCACAATCCTCTCGTTATCACTAAGTGATGGATAATTTATTAATCCTTTTATCATTAGAGAAACAAACCGATCCCGATGTGTTCTATCAATCACAGCTATAAATATATTTTCTCCTGAGCGTTGTATTGCGGTGCTTGTACGTAATTGCGTATGTAAGAACATCATTCATCTTGCGAAGTGAGTACAAAACTCAAACAATTGCGAGGACTGAGGACGTGGGCTCACAGGTCGTTGGGACATGACTTATTATATGTCACGTCATTTGTGCTAGGCAACACTCGATTTCAGGGATGTATTGGATCATTAACGATATAATAAATAAATTTGTCAGATTATCAAGACCTGGAATTTTTGGCTCCTCTGACAATGAGTTGATTCATCATATAAGTATTCCAATAAATTGTCTCAAAATATTGTTGGTCGTCTGCGATTGTTGTATATTGTCTGCAAGTGGTGTTGCCACTAAAAAGTGCAAAGGTGTTGCAAATTGCCTACAACGTTGTTGGTGTCTAAATTTTCAGAATAATGAATACTGAATAGTGGTTGTCTACTAAATAGTGATAATTGTCTCATGATGTCGCAATTTTTTTGACAATGTTATAAAAGTAAACTGCAAATTGTCTATAAAGGAACTTATAATAAATTATCTGAAAGTTGTCGACAATTTGAATTTGTTGTAGATTTTCCGCAAATACTGTAATTATCTGAAAAAATTGTACAATGTCTAAAGGTGCTGCAAACTGTATATTAACGTTACGTATGAAAATAAAGCAAAATTTCTGAAAATATCCTAGTGCAATAGTAAAACTTGTCTGAGGACGTAGCAAATGATCTCTTACTTCATTCATATAAGTATTCCCATAAATTGTCTCAAAATATTGTTGATCGTCTGCAATTGTTGTAAACTGTCTGCAAATATCTGTAATGATTGCCTGAAAAATTATCTACAACGTTGTGAATGGCTAAATTTTCAGAAAAATTTCTACTGAATTCTACTGAATTACTGAATAGTGGAAATTGCTTGAGGATGTCGCCAATATTCTGACAATATTATGAATGTAAACAGTGTATTGCCTGTAAATAAACCTATAGTAAATTATCTAAAAATGTTGTTGGCAGTCAGAGTTTCTTGTAGATTTTTACAAATACTGTAATTAGCTGAAAAATTGTAGTAAGTTTACAGTTATCTATAAACGTTACGTCTGAAAATACAGCAATAATTCTGAAAATAGTCTAGTGTAATAGTACAACTTGTCTGAGGATGTAGCAAATAATCTGAAAATGTTACGAATGCTCGAAAATGTAGAAATTTGTCTAAAGATGTTATAAACTGTCTATAAATGCTGCAGCCTAAACGTATAGTCTAAACGTATTATGAATATTCTGAAAACGTAAATTTTCTGATTATTTCGAAAAATTCCCTGAAAATATAGTAAATGTGATGATCTGAAAAATGTCA